GATCCTTGTACTCCTCTGATATAAACAGAGGAAATATATTACCTGTTCCATGGTGTAAATTTCTTAAATATTAAGTCAGGTCCAACAATGTCTTTCAACAGAAAGGTTAAAGGGACTTGGAATTTATGCTTTTAGTAATGGAAAGCCACTTAAGGTGGTTGTTCTTTTAAAAATATGTATACTTTATATAGATATCAGATAACTGTCATACATATTATATACAGAGTATTAAGACCATTCTTTTTGAGGCTTAAAGTTATATTTTCATTAGTATCCATTCAGTCCTAACACTGCGCCAGGCACTGTATCTCAAAGAAGGACAGGAGAACATATCTGGGGACACAGTTTGCGAGGAGTGGAATAGGCGAAATTTGAGAAAGCACATTAAGTATGGTTGCTTTGATTTACTTTTTAAGGACTTGTTATTAAAGTATAATACAAAAGCTTTAACTGATTTTGTCATTTCCTTTGAAATTTCAAACATTAGAGGAGGATGTAAGAGTTTTATTACTATGATACGGAACAAAATATTTCTTGTAAAACATGATTCACACACAAAAAAAGCTTAAAACAGGTGTCAATGGACAAATTTCAATTAAAACACTGTATTATTATTTCCTCTTAGGCATATTTATTTCTTCCCTGCAAAACCATGATTGTGATACAATTCCATTGCACATCTTGAAATTAATTTCTCAATAAGTAATATGTTTCCAGTTGGCAAGAGAGAAGAAGGATATGTTTAAAAAAATGGTCTCAGGGCTTGACTTTATAAAGGAAAGGGAAGGGAAAAGAAAGGAAGCGGCGGCATGTTCACTCTCTTCACAGTAGGAAGAGCAGGTCCATCTTTGTGTTGTTCAGTTTTCTCGTCTAGCGCAGCTCCCCCATGGACCGACCCAGCCAGGATGCAGCCAGTCTCTCTTCAGTGTCCCCGAGCACTGCTCTGGGTTGAGATGTTACACTCGCACTCATCTGAGGCCCACCCACTGCTGAAGGGTTGGTTCCTGGATCAGGAAGAGTATTTCCAGATTTGGAAAGAAATCCTCAGAAAACAAAGTAAACAAGAGAACTTGGATGCCAATAGCTGCCAATAATGCAGATTACCTGAAGTACCAAAAAAGCAGCATCAAATTAGAAAATAAAATATGCTGAATAAAAAGTATTAACCCCATAAATAATGAGCAAAAAAGGTCATTACTTTTTTAACATCATTTTCGTCTATTAACAAATGATACTTCCCCCCCTGGATTTAGATTTGATTCTAAAATGTAGCAGGGATCTCAACTTACATCAAGGTCTTCACAGGGACCCACACTAGTACACAGTGTTAATTTAAGCCAACAAATATGTTAGCTTTCAGAATATAACTCATATATTTTACTTTTTCTTGAGTTTCTTTCCAGTCCCTGCGATTAAAAACAGAGAAGCATAAACTAAATTGTCAACCCACTGTATTCATGAGGTTTCAAGGCCTGCGAGAAAGCAAGCATCATCTCTCTGTTTTCATCATCATACCTTGTTACCTAAGCTCCGGCTAAACCAACATGTTTAGGATTCAAAATGTTCCATTCCTTTTTTTTTTTAACATGTTTTATTGATTTATAATCATTTTACAATGTTGTGTCAAA